CCCAGCCTTTCCTAAGCCTGTGGTGTGTCCATAACCACCTCTTTTGGGGTTTGTTGGTGCAGGACTTCGTGAGAAATGGGACTTGGTAGACTGAAGGCCGATCCATTCTGCGTTATACTGTAGGCCTTCCTTTTGGGTGAAACAATTGAGGATATAAAGTAAATTACTCCATTTCTGGGTCCTGGAAGAGATAGTCTTACAGTTCATTTGGATTTGAATCTCCTTTGTGTTAAAGATTAATGGCCAACCGTTGCCAAGACCTTTATACTGTAATACAATGAGATTTGAATGATATAATCTACAAATTCCTTGGCTTTGGCAGGAAAATGTCATGTCATTGAAATTCTTTTCGCAAATTAAGTAGTTTCCCCTTTAAACTTTAGATTTCTGTTTTCTTTTCCTATCACGGTCGAACGCTTTCCCATTTTTTAAAAATAAGTTTTTTTGTGATTGAGCCGTATACTTCAGTTTACTGTGGACTTGAATGAATGTTTTTCTCATATTCCAAGTTACAGATCTTGATTGCGGTGGCCTGAAAAACTGTGTTAAATGCTGTTTCTCTATAAGTGACCCTTTTCCTTCGTGATTTCACACGAGTTATTTTCAAATGTAATGGATCACTTTAAAATGTGATGATGCCATACAAACCAAAAAACATAATCTTTGCAATATATGGCTTGGAAAACTTGAGCCATTGGGGGTTTTTTTGTGTGTGTTTTTTTTGTGTTTTTTTTTTTAATCAAGGTACTAATGTCATTGAAAACTCAGAAACTATAATAAAATACATGTAATGTTAGAACTGGTACTACACTATATTGTTGATTTCTCCTTTAAAGATTTAATGCCATAGGGGCCTTGCAGATCAGAGGCCATCAGTTTTTTCCAAACTTTGGATAAACTTAACACTAAACAGTGTAAAGCGGTGAAACTGGGATGTTTTAAGTAAAATGATTGTAGTTTTCTGACTCAGACGTTGTGAACCAAAAAAAAAAAAAAGTTAAAGTTTTGGGTGTTCAGTGAAGTGCATGATCTCTGTTCTGTATCCTTGTCAAATCTGTCACCTTTAAGTGAAGGTAAATTATGTCTTCACTTAAAAGTGCCTTTTCTGATAAAAAGTAACTTGCACTTTTTAGCTCTTTTCCTGCTCTATTCCTTATTAAAAATGTAGAGAGGGAGGAATCAGACTGATGCTTTCCAGTAGCATAAATATGGAACATGGTCCACAGGTCTGAAAAGTTTGTTCAAGCAGTCGACAGTAATTCTTTGTAGGCTAATTTTGAATAATTTAAAAGCAGAAAAGAGGATCAGCTTTTCACTTTGGAAGGCATTGGATTATTTGGTAGGTGGTTTGTGTAAGGTGTGTACCCATTTCCTTCCACACCTGTAAAAGTAAGATGGTCTGATTTGGGGGTTCAAAGGTTCTTGTGCTGGTGGCAGAAAGCTTTGGGATATTTTGGTGCTTATGATGGGGCTTTTCAGGTTATATAAATATTTGACTGAGTCTCAGTAATGCTTTCAAGCACTGTAGGACATAAATGTTATACTATGAAATCGAATCTATTTTAGTTACATTAAGGAGTAGTTCTGTTAAAGACTATCCAGAAATAGGAATGCCGCTTAAGTTGGTCAGAGTTCTGAAGAGAGGGTGTGATGAACATGTTAAGTATTTAGGATAAGATCTCTTAGATAACTTTAATTTTAGGAATAGCGTGCCTGCTATGATGTAATGTAGTCCTATACAAAGGGAACTGAGTAATACTTTACATTCCCGAAACAATCTTAAAGGCCTTCTACACAAGTTAAAAGCAGTGTATAGAGTTACTTCTTAATACTTTGCTTAAAGATGAGAATTTAAAATATGAGAAAGTGTGTTTTGTAGACAAAATAGTGGAAGGGTTGAGACCATCCAAACTGGTACTTTTAGTGTAACATCCAACTTTTTTGGTTCTGTGTTTGTTTTTCATTTATATAATGTTTCAAAACGTGTGTAGGATGGTCTGTGATTGAGGTAGGTATACATATGTAAATATTATTATAGTGTATGCCTTTTAAATAATTGCTTTTTTTTTTTTAATCAAGTGGTTAGTTACTCAAGTTTTTTTCTTGTTTGTTTGCTTGTTTGTTTTTTTAAATAGAAAGAGGAGCTGGTCTGATCTAATATAGTTGCATTTGGCTGAGAAGAGCTCAGATGATTTTGGATTGACATTCTTGGGTCCATATTAAATTGTAAACAGTCCAGGATTCCACTCACTACTTGGTGACTTCCTCATGTAAAAAGGTGTAGGGTTGTGAGGATTCATCCAAGCCGCTTACTGGCTGGATGACCTTGAGCCAGTCACCTTATGTTACTGATTCATAGTCTAAAATACATAAAAATTAGGATAATTGTTTACCTGGTAGTGAGAGTCAAATGGTAATAGAAGAGAAGGTGCTTTGTATACTTGTAAGTATTATATAATTCTGTTACTCCTCTTGTTTTGAGCTTTAATTATATAAAACTTTTGGTTAGTTAGCTTTACCATTTTGGGTCTCATCTAGTTCAGGGATGGCAAGTTCATTGCATTTTGCTTATAGTTGGTAGTGGCTGCCATGTTAATGCAGATGTAGATGTATTTCTGGGCTTGGTGGGAAAGAGGGCCGTGGTTAGTAATGTTTGACAGGCACTGGACAGTGTTTGCTGGAATGCCACTTATTTAATTATCTGAGATGATCTAGTCCAGCCTTCTTATTTTATAGGTGAGGAAATCGGCCGTTACCGTTTCCTTTCTTGGGTATTTTTAGAGCCTTTGAAATACTTGTGATTTTTGTTACCTTTGTCTATGGTAGTGATAGATACACTGGACGTTTTAGAGTGTGGTTCAAGCAAGGCTCAGAAGGTCCAGGTTTTGTATANAGCAAGGTTCAGAAGGTCCAGGTTTTGTATACTGACTCATGAATTGAGCAAACTGGTAAAAATGGAGATAATTCCATTATTTTACGGGATAGTTGTGTCAAGTGAGATGGCCATGAAAGGATACAGAGAGTACTGTCTGTGTTCCCCTGGGTCTTCATTTATACTTGTAGCTGTTGGATGTGTGATTTTCCCACAGAGGTTTATTTTAGGGGCAGGAACCAAGTTTGTATTTTTTAAGACTGTCATTGCCTTGCATGTAGGCATCGTTTTGCATTGTAGATATTAAGTGGATAAATCTTGAGTGAGTGTGGATCAGTGGAGAAAATGTGCTGAAGTTTACTCAAGGCTTCGGATGATGGTTTTGGTTACTTATCCTACTCACAGCTTAGATCTGGGGTGATTGTATAACTTGTAAAACACCCAGTGTTTATCATGAGTGTAAGAAGTATTTGGAAAGATGTGATTTCGATTTTTATGTGGTTGTGGGGAGGTAAAGGATACTTAAACTCTTCCTCTGCCAACTTAAAGTTGCTCCCCCTCTTTCCCTTTCCTGTCTTTGGAATTGAGTGGAACTAAAAGTTAANATGTGGTTGTGGGGAGGTAAAGGATACTTAAACTCTTCCTCTGCCAACTTAAAGTTGCTCCCCCTCTTTCCCTTTCCTGTCTTTGAAATTGAGTGGAACAGAGAATCTGAATTGAGGCCGGACCTCAGTGGGTGCTTCCCCAAATAAGGGATTATGATGTTTTCTGGAATAGAAGACAGAAAGGGAAGTTTGTCAGACCTGGGAAGTCATCCCTGGTTTATCTGCCAGCTATTCCCGAGTGTTCCTGTGCACTCTGTATATTTTTTGCTATAGCATTTATTACATTGTTTTATAATTACCTGGATCTGTCAGTCCCTCTTCATTGTAAGCTCCTTGAGGGCAGGGACTGCATTTTTGTAGTCATGGTACCAGCAAAATATTTGGCAAATAGTAGGTGCTCATGTAAATTTTTGACTTCGACTAGAGTGTTCTTTTCCAGAATCTGTTCACTAATGGTAACAACCACAATTTTTGGAGTACCTGCAATGTTCTAGAAGCTGTGCTGCGTATTAGGGGGTGTAAGATAGAGTTTGCCATATAGACCATGTTAATAAAGTTATTTAATTCAAACAAACAAACAAGAACAGCATCATGGCCACAGGAATAGGTGTAGAGTTTGGTTCTTACTCAAACACAAAGCCAAGGAGTGGCCAAAAAGAGTCACATTCAGGTTTGTGTAACTGCAAAGCCCTTTGGAGGGTACCATGTTTTCTTGGTTTTTCTCATTAGACCCTGAATTAATAGAAGGCCATCATTCTGTTTTTTAGTCTTATTGATCATGGGACTTGTAAATATTTTTGAGCAGTAAGTTTATGCCTATCTGTTGGTTTAGCTTATTTCTATTCCATTTTAATGCCTGCTTTGTCTTGAGTCTTATCAAGTCTTTAGAATACCAATACTTTTTTCCTATTTTTTGCAATTATACATAAAGCTGTTATGAATATTAAATTGGATAGTTCACGATACTCGTGAAGGAAGCTGTATTAGTCAGCTTGGGGTGCGATAACAAAACACCATAGACTGGGTGGCTTAAACCACAGAAACTTCTGTTTTCCAAGGTCTGGAGGCTGGAAGGCTGAGACCACCGTGCCAGATGGGTGGGTTCCACAGGGCTTTCTTCACTGGCTTGCAGACTGCCTTCTTGGCTCCTCCTCGGTGTACCCTCTAATTGCAGAGAGACAGATCTCCCTCTTTTTACAAGGTCACCAACGCTGTCAGATTAACATCCCACCCTTATAATCTCATTTAACCTTAATTACCCCCTAAAAGCTCTTATCTCCAAATGAAGTGACTGTTGGGGAACAGGGCTTCAACATATAAATGGGGGGACACCTTCCAGTCCATAGCAGAAGATTTCCAGGTGTGTCTTTTTTTCTGGTCAGTGCATACAGTTTTGATGGAAAAAGCTAATCTGTATAATGCTTAGGTGATTTAGGTGAGTGGGTGGATTTACACAAGAGATCCGTATTTTCTAGAAATTTCTGTACATGGGGAAGCTTTTGTTTTAGAACGTTTCTAATAAGTTTAATTAGCATGTAACTTTTCCAAAGAATGTTTTTGATGTGTAGCAGTAAGTGTAGAGTTTGCATGGTGGAAGGTAAAGAGTGTAGGCTTTGAAGTCAGCCTGAGTTTGAACCCTATTTTGACATTTCCTAATTGATTTTTGACTAAGTTATAGTTTTTGAGATTTGAGTTTCTTCTGTAAAATGGTTATAAACTTTTGCATTACAGAGTTGTTGGGAAAATTAAATCAGAAATTATATTAAACTGTGGCATAACACTTGGCACATAAATTGGGCTTGATAAGAATAAATCCCCTACTTCTACGAAAGTCTGACATCTCTTAGGTTTATGTTAAGAATATAAAGAGCCTTGTAAAATGGTACAGCTGCTTTAGAAACAGTTTGGCAGTTCCTCAAAAACTTAAACATAGAGTTACTGTCTGACCCAGCAGTCCCACTCCTAGGTATGGACCCAGGAGAAATGAAAACATACGTCCACCCAGAAATTTGTTCACAAATGTTTATGGCAACATTATTCGTAATAGCCAAAAAGTGGAAACAACCCAAATGTCCATCGATTGATCAGTGGAGAATCGAACTGTGGTCCATCAGAAGGAATAGATGGAAACATGGTAAGGGAAGGAAGTCAGACACAAAAGGCCACGTATTGTCTGATTCCATTGATGGGAAATGTCCAGAATAGGCAAATCTGTAGAGAGACAGTAGGTGAGTGATTGCCAGGGTCCAGGGAGAGGGAAGGAGGGATGGGAGTGAATGTCGTTATGGGTACATACGGGCTTGCTTTCTGGGGTTATGAAAATGTCCTGGAATTAAACAGTGGCAATAGTTGCACAACCTTGGGAATATACTGAAATCCACTGGATTTTTATACTTTAAAATGGTGAATTTTTTGGTGTGTGAATTATATCTGAACTCGCACTCCCCTGTCCTTGGACTAGTGTTTTCACTTACTAACTAGAATCAGAAGAAGGTCTCGTATGCTTTACGTGGCTTCTGACATTTTTCTGACTTCGGATTCGTATTTTAAATGAACATCTTCATGTTTTCTAAAGAAGAGAGAGCGAAGACAGAGCCAGGCAGAAGGGCTTGCTGAAGTGGAGACACTGCTAGCTCTGCCTGTGAGAGGCCTGAACAAGTTTTGGAGGAGCGCTGTCTTCACGGTGGGGTGACATCTCTGGGGCCCTGTTATGAGTAAGGGTGCCTAAAGTCACTGATAAAATCAGCGAGCACATCCAGCAGAATCTTCAGGAAACGTTAGCCTGGGCGGTGAGATTCAGAAATCTCAAATCCCAGGGAAGTTTTGTCTTTGGAGAGCGAGGTAGCCTTGATGACGTCTTTACACGGCCCGCATCACTTTCTCAGGGGGAACAGCCTTCTGGAACACTTGGTCTTGGCAAATAGTGCATCCGATGAGATGAAGGGAAAACGGCTATCACTAAGTGTGCTCCCCAGGTCCTCAAATCTCCTTTTTTTGGGTCTTTTTTTGGTATCTGCATTTTATGTGTCAACTTGGTAGGGAAGCAGCTTCATAAAGAAACCCAGAACATAAGTGAAATAAAACGAATGTTTCTTTAGGTCAAATCTCAACGGAGTCCAAATTGGTGGTTTTATGGTGCAGTGAAGGGATCTTTCTGTGCAGGTTTAATCATGATTAAATAGTGGTTATATTTGAGTGTCTTACTTTGTTCCGCAATCCTGAGATGTCCCTTCCTCTCCTCTCCCAAATTCTCACCTCATATTAGACTAGTCTTGCAAGTGAAATTGTGACCGTTCAATTTTTAACCATTTAAGATTTATGAATTGTAGGTTTTCATTTAAAACTTGGAATTTTTATTTCTTTGTTGTTTATTTCTTTTAATCATTGTATTTTAAGAAAATGAACCAATGACTGTTCAGATGTCTCATCAGTGGTTAAATTACCTTTTTCCTTCCACTATAAAGCAGTACAGGCTTTGCGTAGATTTTAGAAAATATGGAAAGTATAAAGATGTTAAATCAAACCATCTACAATTTTGATATTTTGATGTGTAGCTTTCTAGACTTTTTATAATACATATATACAGCCATAAATGTGCTTGTATATGTGTATGAGTGTTTTAAGTAAAAGTGAGGTCCTACTACGTAAAGGTGAAATTGTACTATATTATTTTGTAACTTCTAATTCTCGTCACTAAATACAGATCTGTATAGTTTTAAGTAACTGCATAGTATTTTCACTATGCCTTGTATGACCTTAATTTAATCTTGTAGCAATAGACTTTTAGATTTTTTCCATTGTGTTCGTTATAAAAAACACTACTGTGAACATCTTTGGATATATGTCTCTGTGCACATATCTGATGTTTTATATCTGCACATATATTTTAGGATCAATTCCTAGAAGGAAAATCAAGTATTAATTTTTTCCTTTCTTTCACTTTATCAGCAGGTTCTGTCAGGTCGACCTCCGTTTACTTCTGTCCGTCTCACTGCCCCCCCTCAAGTCCAGGCCACTGTCACTCTCACCTACGCAATTGGTGTCTCCTCTTTTCCATTCTTGCCCTCGGTTTTCCACGCATCGGCTGGAATGATCTTAAAGTGGAAATCAGACATTGTTATTCCCCTGCTAAAGCCTTCAATGGCATCTGAGCGCTCTTAGGATAAAGCCCAAATTAATAACCCAAATTATTAAGGTCCTGCCTCATCTGGCTGTATTCCTAGTTCCCAGCACAGGCCTTTGTGAGCGCACAATAAACATTTGAGTGAATAATAAATGAAATTACCAGATCAAAGGGAATTTTATCAGCTTTTGATACACATTACCAAATTAGCAACAGTGGATGAAAGTGCCAGTTCCCCCACACTCTGGCCAACTCGGCATTATCAGCCTTTTTAATCTTTGCCAATCTGATAGGCAGAAGGTGTTATCGCATTGTTTTAATTTGTATTTCTTTGATTGCTAGTCGAGTTGAACATTCCTCCCCGTGTTTTTGGCCATCTCTTTTTTTGTGTGAGTCACCTGCTCGTGTGCTTTGTCTATTTTCTCAATGGGATGTTGAGGGTTTTTGTAATGATTTATAATATATTAAATAAGTGAGTGCAGATATATTGTCTCAGTTATCTATTGTAGTGTAACAAACACCTCAGAACCTAGTAAAACATGTTTGAGCTGGTCGGGCAGTTCTGCTGGTCTCACCTGGACTCAGACATGTGTTTATTCCTTGGTCAGGTACACGTGGTGTGTCTGTCTGTCACTTAGTAATAGCAGCCTACCGTGANCAGACATGTGTTTATTCCTTGGTCAGGTACACGTGGTGTGTCTGTCTGTCTGTCTGTCACTTAGTAATAGCAGCCTACCGTGCGATCGAGCCCCACTGTGCAAGCGCTTATCAAACCTCTGTGTGCTGTCCCTTTATGTCGTCTTGGCTAAAGCAAGTCACAAGGTCAGTGTGGCAGGAGACGACACAAGGACGGATCTAGAGGTGTGGTTCATTGGGGGCGTGATGCAAAAATCTTGTAAATTTGTCACTTGTTCTTTGTTTGTTTTGGTTTAGAAGTTTTAAAATTTCTTACCAAACCTCTCAGCATTTATGTTTACAGCTCTGCCTTTGGTGTCATACTTTCTCCAACCTAAAATTACACGTGTTCACTTACATTTTCCTTTGTTACTTTTATGGTTT